TGTATATAGGAAAGTGACCTACTCTCTGTTTTCTTGGTTAGCCTGGCTAGAGTTTCATTAATTTTATTAATCTTTTCAAATACACAGCTTTTGGTTTTGTTGATTTTCTCTATTGTTTTCTCATTTTAAATCTCATTGGTTTTTCCTTTTTTTTTTTTTTTTTTCTTTTGGTGGCTGGCCAGTACAAGGATCAAACCCTCAACCCTATCAGCACCACACTCTAACCAACTGAGTTAACTGGCCAGCCCTAAATTTCACTGGTTTCTTCTCTAACTTTTATAATTAGTTTTGTTTTAGTTATAAACATAACATAAAGTAATGTGGAACCTAAAGTACATGTATTTAATTATTCATCTTAAAACATTTCTTTTGTTATATTTGCTAATAAATTCATAAGGAACAAAGAATGCTTAAGTCTACATAAAAGGGCTTAATCTCAAATGAAGCAAAATGCATAAGTAATCAGCAAAATTATTCATGTAATTTATTTCATGCAAAGCTACATTATTTCCTCTATTTTAACAGCTAATCAAATAAACATTTCAAAAACCTCATTACATCACAATAAGTTAAAATACTACAAAGGAATTGCAAGTCAGTGAGTTTGTCAAAACCAGACTGGGAGAACATTATGCATAGATAAGGCCAAAAATGTCTACTTATAAGTAGCACTTTGCAGCTTTTTCCAAATACATATTTTAAAATGTAGTGAGCATCTGCAGAGAAAAACAGTTAAATCTACAACCCAATGGTCAGACAGGAAAACATGTGTCATTACATATTAGGTAGTAATAGCTGATTAAAGATAAATTTGGCATCATGCACCAAAAATGAACAGTTATTAACATTTTGAAAAATTATGATCAGATGCATATTTGAAAAGATTTATCTTTTCTTGCACCTAATCGGCTGGATTAGATAAAAGCAAAATAACAAGTAGATTATTAATGCAATGCAGAAATTAGGATTTTGGTATACTTTGCTTAGGTACTGATATATATAAAAAGATACTGAAGAGATGTAGAAGTATTTCAAATTCACATCGGACTACTGAATTTTAGAATATTGTCCAAAGGAAATAGGTCTCAACACAACTTATTTCAGAAAGATTTTTAAATGATTTAAAAGAAACACTACAATTACTTACAAAGACATTTATAAAAATTAAATACCAGGTAGTAACACATTAATATTAGAGCTCTTTTGTATTTTCAACACTATAATTTATAAATATATATTAGATTACAGTAATTTAAAAGAGAGGTTCACATATTCTCTACCTTCTAAAATGAAAAAAATCCTTCAAGTTGTTTTCAAAATATGGACAAAAACAAATCCATTGGATTATTTTTAAAAAATAAATACACAGTCTCTCCCCTACAACTTGTTATACTAAGTAGGGAAGATGATAGCCAGCATTCTTTTGAGAAATACAGCTCTTAGTGAGTAGGTTGATAAGATTTGTGTCAATATTATCAACTCTAAATGGTTTTGTACAGTCAGTCTAATAATTTATGACTTTACCCTACATATGTATGCCCTAGTAAACCATTCTTTCTACTCTTTTGCATGAAGTACAGTAAAATTCTCCTTTTCCAAAATGATTTGAGATAACCACAAAAGAAAAGATTTTCAGGGGAAAACAGTTCATTTTCCTCAAGGAGTGTGTTAAAAACAAATATCTTTTAGGATATGAGTGAGACAAGGAACATGCCAATAGTCTTAATTTACGAACAAATTTAAAAACTAAAGCAAGGCCTCAATCAACATCAATGGACAAATCTTTTAGAAATGAAAATAAAATTCTAGTTAAACCAGACTGAGCATAGGAGGAATAAGAGGTGGACATGTTCCCACTACAACACGACAGGACTAGTGCCTGCCCTCCTGAGGGAGATGGCTCCTAGGGCCTGGTCTCCAGAAGCTGGGAAAGGGGATAACACTGCCTAGTTGTCCAAGTCTCTGGGTAGAAAAAAGTCACAGAGTTGGAAATGTGTACCCTACAAAGATGGCAACTCATATTTTAGAAAGCCTCCTGTAACCCTCTTATATTGTTCCAACTCTTCTAAAGAAAAATTTTTTGACAATGTATGTTATTTATGAATTCCTTTTCATAAACAGAGGTTATAAGGTTTTTAATGTTTTGGGTTTTTTTACAATCACTTTTTTTGGAAATTCATTTTTATGCAAAAACATCACACTGAAAACAATTCATTTTACTGAAGTGTCCCCCTTCACGACCTAAAAGACAGCACAGTGAGCCAGCATATTTCACCCTCACATTCAGATGTTGCTTAGTTATCTAGCAAAACCTGTTTCACTACTTTAGTTACCATACTGCTATTTCAAGTAGTGGGATTTGTAGTTGGAACTAGTTCCCTTTGAGTGTACTGCTCATCAAAAACAACTGTGTACACAAAACAAACAGAATAACAATCTGTCAGCACATTAAAAGTTGTAGAGAGGCTTCAGGGTGGAAGAGAGGTATACAAGGAATAAGAGAGAGAAAAAGAAAAGAAAGGAAAGACAAAACCCTAAATCCGTTCACTTCTTAACATTTAGAATTTAATATAAATTAAATTCTACACTTTGGAGATTCAAGTATGCTAAGGTTTTTCAGGGACATGTTCCGCCTCTTAGTACAAATATATTTATGCTTGTGATTTTCAGGCATGGTCCACTCAAATCACAAGTAAAGAATTCTCCTTACTAAACTGTGTAAAATATAGAGTTTATATTTCCTTTAATATGGTAATCGATATATCATCAAGAACATTCCCTAGACCTATCAAAGTTATAAATAACCAACATAAATAAAATTCCTTCATTAATACACTAAAATAAACCTTAAAAAAAAAATCACACAAGTTGATCCACATTTAATTTAGGTACACGTCCAGCTTAAATTTCAGAACTGATGATCTAATCCAATAGTACAGTCCAAAAACAAATCAATCAGCAGAATTTCTTTTTGAATGTTTAGATTGTCAAATTCTCTAATCTATTCTTTAAAAAAGGGAAAAGACTAGAGTGTTTTAATCTAGCTCTTGCTACTTTTGTGAAAGGAGGCCTCTGTGTGATGAAATTATTCTAAAGCCCTTAAATTCATTTGGTAGTAGAGCAAATTTTAATAATTAGACTTACACTTTATTTCTTATTTTAAGAATGTTTTTAGAAAAATGCTCTATTGATAACAAGTTATTTATATAATAAAAAAGTTAATTAGCAACTTACAGGTGATTCATGAAATTAATAAATTATTATTTTCTGTAATGGTTATTTTGAATTACTCGTTTACTTACTGAATATCCTTACCTAACAACTATTTTTAAAAATAATTCAGAAAATTCGAATCAGACATTTATTATCACGTAAGAAAAAACATTAAAAATTGCCAGAAATAATTCAAGAAATGAACTTTGCATGTAAAGTATATTAATTTAGTAGTAATGTTTTACAGTAGATGTCATTACATTTTGATAAGCTTCTCCAAAAAGAAAACTTTTTGTACATTTTACAGTTTTTTACATATAGTGGCTTTATGTAAAAAAACTTAGTTCCTCAGCAATAAACTCTCAGTCTTCAGGGATTAAATCACTGTCTCATGAACTTGAGTTTACCCAGCATGGTAACCTTTCTATATGATTGTATATAAAATCCTGTAAGACATATTCTGCTTAAAAAGTTGAAGACTCTTGATCACTGAAACAACCAAAATTTATTTTGGAAATAACCCAGAAGTCATAAAGGGATCTATACTGTTTGTGAAGTGTATGTGTAATAATTGTGTGTATATAATAACTGAAGTGTATATACTTACACACACATTGAAGTGTGTATATATGCATATAAACATATACACAAAAAAATTAATAATAAAGGAAATAATGTTCTCTTACACATGCCTATCAATTTATATATATAAGGCATTTGAAAAACTAGTTATAAAAGTAAATGGATCATTTCTTCTTTTCTGCTTCAACATCTACAACAGCATCTGAGTTTCATGACAAAATCTGATGAGAAACAACACTATACATGAAAAAAGCATTCCAAAGTAAAGTCAAAGACTAAATAAAACAACCCTATTTTCACAGGACTTTTGATGAATTAGTCCAAAGAGTATTTGCTTTGGGGACTTGTAAGCTTTTCTGCAATAAGAAACCAGACCCCTTTCTAGAAATGTTCATTTTCCCCATCCGATGCCTTTAAGTACCACTAGGAAAAATAGCACAGCTAATAACTTGTTCTGTCTTTTAAACTCCAGTGCATACACATCAATTCAACTCCCTCACAATAGCTTTGTGAGGTAGGTTGGTAGGTAAATAACAAATATCATCTTCATTCTGCAAATGAAGAAATTGAGGCACTGAAAGGTTCATGATTTGCTCAAGGTATTCAACTAATCTATAATGAAATTACAAACAGTATTAAATTATTTCTGCTGCTGGCCTATTGCTCTCTGACCACACTTCACAATAAAAAGGCTGTGTGTGTGTATACTCAAATGAGCACTATATGTTCTTCAACTGAGAGTAAATCTATCCATTGATAATTATTTTAAATGGGATCTAATCTCAAAGATCATAAAAACTCAAAGATAAAAAAAAAATCAGATAATTAGGATGATGCACTATTCCTTTCAGTACCTGCATAGAACTGTCTTTAAGAAATTTACATGCTAACACTAATTAAAGAGGAAAATTAAATTTTTAAATTTATGACTCAGGGAAAGATTAACAAAAGAAACATATAATCATATAGTTAGGGTGACCATATAATTCATCTTCAAACTAGGATATCTGAGAGTGAAAGTGAGCACTAGTAATGATTACACATGATAATAGGGGTTAAACTGAGACTGTCCTGGGCAAGTTCAAGTATGGTTACGTAAGGTAGCATAGATTCTATAAGAGTTGCAAATATTTCAGGGACATAAAAAACTCTCTGCAATCATGTTGCACTCAACCATGTTCACTCTGCAATCAAACTCTGGTGCTTTAAATATAATACCTAAATTTGGCTTAAACACAAAGGTTAAAACAATCAATTTAAAATAATAACTCTGTTTAACCAACAAGTTATTATCACACATTTCCATTCTAATATTGTTTGTTGTTTTTCTATAAACTACAGTTTAAGTGTTAGTAATAACAATAAATGGACTCACTTTTTACCTTTGAACAACCAGATTTTTTTTCCAAAAAACATAGACAGGTACCTTTATATATTAGAGAATTTGGAATGGAATGATCAATACTTAAATCAATATGCTAAATGATAAAGGTGAGCATTTCTCTCCGAAATGAAAATCTTTTAAAAAAAAAAATACTAAAAGGAGAAAAAATACAGTTATTACAAAGATGGAAATAATAATACATCACCTGATTACAGTATACATGCTAAAGACACTGATACTATTAGTTGAAGTATAATCTTAGTTATACATGCAAAAAACTCCACTGATTTGCACACAGATTTGAAAAAACAGCTTTTTACATTCAGTTAAGTCTGGTAAGTAAGCCTTGTTTTAAGACATGAGTTTTGTGAATATGGTTATGATTTGAGATCTCTATTCACTCACATTTCTTTGGGAAATACATGTGGAACATATTTTTTAGAAATGGCAAAAACATAAATCACAATAGTAAAACTGTATATTATTTAGTATGATGTAAATTATTGTTTAAAGGTCCTTGGGTCCTTTAGGTCTCCTAAAAAAACTAATTTGAAACAAACTGAACTACATGTTCTCAACATACGCTGATCTTTTATCATGAATTAAATCCTTCCACTGTAACTGTACTCCTAAGGCAGACGCTCAGGGAATGATATGTAATAAATCCTATTAGATAATATGATACTCTATCCAATGAACAATAAATTATTACAAAGGTACTTCCAAAAATTCATGGAAAGACTCATATTATTTTTTAATTCTATTTTTCCACGAGCTTTTTGAAGTACCCTGGTATTACTAAGATGTAAGTAATTCTCAGTGCCTTTTCTGTTACCCTAACAATTTTCGCTGATGAGGGTACAAAGGAAATATTAGGGCGCAAAGATGTTCATATGACTGAACTGATGTGTTGACCTTGGTTAGTTGTTCCGCACATTTTTTCAGACTTTAGACATCATCAAACATTCTGCTGCGAGACATTGAGAGATATTGTCCACCAGGCTGATACCTAAAAGGTGAACATAAATAAATGATCTAAGGCATCAAATATAATAAAGGAGGAGAGAAAAACATGAACACATTAAAGGGAAGTGGCTACATAATTTGTATGCATTGAAAGATCTATTCAGTAGCTGAATACAGAAACTTACTTTCCAAAATAACTTATTTATAAATCAACCAGCAACTGTTTTAGAGCCTAGAATACATATATGACAGAGCAAAGGATGTAAAAAGAAAGGGTGGGGGATGTAAGACACATCCAGGAGATTAATCAATTTAATAACCACTTGATTATTGAACATAAATAAAATATTCTAGGGTTTTTGCTATCTATAGGCAATACTACAATAAACATCTTCATGCATATATTTTGCTTTGTTTGTTTCCTCATAGCATAGTAGCCAAAAGCACAGATTCTGCAGCCTGTCTTGCCATTTACAAGCTGTTTGAATCTAGGGAAGTTACTGACCCTCTCTGGATTTAAATCCAATTAGATCTGCAACCATAAAATAGAATATTGTTTTTAAAGTGCTTAAAATAGTGTCTAACAGCCAGACATAGTTACACAGCTGTTGCTAAATATAACAAATTTCATAAGTGGGATTTATATGTAGGTATATAAATATTGTTATGTTACTTTGATATATATTTCAATTTTTCTTTCTTATTTATAATACCCTAATATTGTATGAAGATACCAATTCCAATAACTACTACTGGATGCTATGATTTTTAAAATATAAAAGGATTAGAAGGTATAAAGAAATATAGAAGCTACTTAATACGTTTTTAGTAGAAGTAAAGATAAACATTTTCCTTATGTTTATTTATCACTTGCTTTCAACACTGCCAAACCAAATGTTATTAAAATTCCAAAGAATGCTAGAGCCAAAATGACACAGCCAGAACTTACCTTCCTGAGGCAGATTCAAGAGGATCATCAGTGAACGTTTCTGCATTAAAGTCCAAAGGTTCTGCATCTTGGAGAAGTTCTATTCGGTCCCTTTCAGTCCTATTATTAGCTCTGGTATATTTGGTTGCTGCTGCAAAGGGAGAAAAAAAAATGTCTATTTTCCTATTGTCTTTTAACTTACGGGTCATAGTCTATGGACTCACAGAAAGAAAAATCAAGATTACAAAGGATCTGAATTTTGACTGAAGACAAACAACATGAGAAAAGATAATTACGTGGATTCTTAAAAATCAAATTAAAATTTTAAACACTATAATCAAAAATAACAAGGAAAATTTCTCTAGCTTTGTAGCTAGTTTAATCTTAGAAGCAGATACAGAGCAAAGACTTAATTGATATAAATCAGAATTAATACTTAACTAAGGTAAACAGTGAAACTATTCATTATCAAATCGAGCTTCCGTTGGCTTCACAGTAAATCTCATTTCTTGGCTAAGACTTGACTTTATAGTGTAATCAACTTAAGCTCTTCAAGACAGGCCTGAGTCTTTTTCCCATGAGGCAAGAGTAAGGGTACCACTGGCCAATAAAAATAAAATGCAAGCCCCATATTTAATGTAAAATTTTCTACTAGTTACACTAAAAAGTAAAAAAAAAAAAAGTGAAATTAATTTTAATATACTTAATTTAATACAATGTATCCAAAATATCATTTCAACATGGGTACCAGCCACATTGCAATTATCATCTAGTAAGCACAGATTTAGAAAACTAACTCTCCCTTCACTTCGTGATTTCTTCATAAACAACCTAATTTCTCACAATGGCATTTCGAACATCCAAGTACCTTTAAAACAACTTTATAAAATAGTTCTTTTTGAAAACTTCAGGAGAGCCAATTCTATCATATTTTACATTTTTGTGATCTTGAACTCTGCCCTAAAATGCAAGTCTCTGCATCTTTTCTCTCGTTCATTCAGCAAATAGCAGTTGCTCACCACATGCCAGGTTCTAACTCTTCATCCAATGGCTTTGTGCCTCCTCTTCGCTTAACCATTTTCCCATATTCCCAGATCTTTCCATTCTGTAAACTTCCACTCTATGGTAAGCAAGCATTCAAATCCCTTTAAAGAATCTTCCCTCTGCTTCCTAGCTTTAACTAAAGTTTTAGCCCTCTTCTATTCATTCTACCCTAAATATCACTCAAATAAATTCTTTTCTCTTCATCTCCAGGATCACTGCCTTATTTTAGGCCTTTATCATTTCTTGATTGCATTACTAAAACAGACTCTAAGATGGTTTCTATGCCTCACTTCCCTAAATATCATGCTTTATACTTCACCTTTCTAAACCAAAAATCTTATCATGCTTCTTCCCAGATTGAAATCTTACCTTTATTAGGATAAAATCCAAACTTTTGAGCATGACAATATCTGTTACCTAACTATCCTCTGTGTCCTCCCCTCATGCTTAGGCTCTAGTCACAGAAAAGCATGTATTTCCCCAAAGGGTCTCTCATATCAGGATGTCCTGCACTTACTCTTCCTCCTTATTAACAACACCCTTCACCTGACTAAGTACTATTCATTCCTAAATACTCAGCGAAATATATCTTTATTATAGAAATATTTCCTGACTATAGAAACTTTTCCCAAGACCCGCAAGCTGAGTCCCTTCAGCATCAGGTTTGCATCCTTCTATCATATCTCTCATGACGTCTACAATATTATTAAACAGCCCATCATTAATATATTTCTAAAATTTCTACTTAGTTATTTTGTATAGTTTACATATCTCTGGTGAGTTCCCCCTTCCTCCCATCTGTTCATGCACATTATCTAAGCTTTCCATTAGATCTTTTAACATACTAATTGGTTATTTTAAAATCACTGTACTGTTTGATAATTCCAACATTTGAGCAATCTCTAGGTCTGATATGTTGACTATTTTACATTTTAAAGATGACTCATATTTTCTTGCTTTTTTGTGTATATCATAATTTTTAGTTAGACATTGTGTATATAAGAAAGTAGACATTGTGTGTATAAGACAGTAGAGATAGAGATAAATGATAGTTATGCCCCAAATGGGCACACCTCTTCTATTAAGTCATCAGTGTTGAGGGACTGAATCAATCTAATCCGCAGTTGATCTGGGTTTGGATTTTGTTGTTACTTCAGTTCCCTTAAGTATCCCCAGGCTTCACATCTCTCCAGTGATGGACTGCCATTACCTATGCTTAGCAGAGGCTCAAGTGTCAGATGGTTTCTCTCAGTATTTTTTTTCCACCCTCAGATTTCTGTAGTCTCTACATGCCTATGCCACAGAGGGAATCCCTTTCCATTTTTTTCTCCTCCTCCAACAGTAGACTACTGTTGCTTGATACTCAGTGCAAAACTCATAGTTGGGTCAGAGGATGTGCTCAGTTTTCCTGCTCCATCCTCAGTCTTATGCAGGCCCCTGTGCACTGAAGCCACAGTGGTGGGGCTCTCTCAGCATTTTTACATCTCTCCTAAAAACAAACAAACTCTACCTTCTACTCAATGAAAGGTCCTTGGCAAAAGTAGGTTTCTTGGCATCTCCCCAGAGGCAAACGACTTCTGCCTCATGTCAATAGAGGGTCAGTAATATGGGGAGGTTTCCTCACCCACCCCAGTGTCAGATGGCTTCTGCCTGGTGTCACTCCCTAATTACAAGCATCCTGAAGATAAGAAATTTATCTCCTTTGTATTACTGTATATTGGAGAAGAGCCTGACATATTCATATATGGTTCAGTCAGTAAATTATTATAAAATGACTGAATAACCTACATCTACTAATATAAAAGTAAAAACATCAAAGTAAAATAGAAATAAGAATCGAATATGCTTAAGATAAGTGTTTTTATTATTTAGGTTAGTATACTTACAACTACGTATGTATTTGATGCCCCAGTTTCTCCTTCCCCTACCAGAATACATATTTGAGTTTCTCCTTCTTTCTATATAGTGAGGAATGTGAGAAAGACAAGTCACTGCTGATGCATTTTTACAATTCTGCAAAGGAATTTCTGGAGAGGTAACCTAACTTTCAGTCTCTATGCAAACTAGCATAAGAAAAAAGTTTCTAAGCAAACTAGAAAATAAACTACTTACACCGGTTGGTATTAATATCTGAGAAGTTTGACTCTTTTGGGTCAGTATGAACGTTTCTGTTCCTAGTAGAATCTTCTCTATTGTGTCCATACCGTTCTTTCCATTCCTAGGAAAGAAACACCAATGAATATATAACAAAAGAACAGAAAATAATTAATCAGTGTCAGTAGACTATATATGCAGAGTAATATAATTTAATTCTTCTTCATCAGAAATTCATTAGTAAGCAGTACAATTACCATAGTGCCTTTAAAAGTCACAGGTCAATGTTTCAAAGTTTTTATCTTTACATGATTTAAAATCACGGTCTATAAACTTTTTTACAAATAAAGACACATCGATATTTTTGCTAGTTATGATTATGTTATTCTTCCATCTAAAATGTCAAAACAATAATACAACTACAGCAAGTTTACCTCGACCATGTAAAAGTTATGAGAATGCATGATAATTAGTAAGTTATTAAAAATTTTTTTTCATTCAAACTAAAAATATTAAAGAAGTGAAAAGTCATTTTCAGGGCTGGCCCGGTGGCGCACTGCTACAGTGCGCCGCTTGGGAGTGCAGCGGCGCTCCCGCCGAGGGTTCGGATCCCACATACAGACCGGTTCCCGCTCACTGGCTGAGCGAGGTGCGGGCGCGACACC